TTTTTAAAGTAACAACAATCCTGTGAAAACAAACAACTCTGAAAGCTGTCAGAATTCTGATCAATGAAATGACTCCAGATTCAGGATTCCAGAGGACCAATGATGAAGTATGCTAGCCACTTCCTGACAAAGAGGTAATGGATTTAGAGTGCACAATGATATCTCTATCTCTATACCTGTATCTATATTACCCATGTCTATACATCTAATATGGCTGATGAGGGAATTTGTTTTGCTTGACCATATGTATTTGTTACAGGGATTTTTTTTCCTGGAGAATGGGAGGGAGAGAAAATAGATTTCTCTTAATAAAAAAAAACTAATTAAAATATATTAACAAACCTATCTAGAAGAGCCTTTTTAGTCTGGCTTATCTACTTCCACATGTCAAAATACTGTTAATATACATCATTATACATATACTAACACCTCTTCCATGGATGAATGACTTATTGGTACAATTTTGATTCTATTTGGTTAATAGTAGAATACTGTTAATATACATCACTAGATTTTCTTTGTATTTAGAAAAAAACCCATTTGAGAAGCAAGGTATCATTATTTCTATCAGGGTTGATCAGCCATAAGCCACTTATAAAGCCTAAACTATTGGGTGAAAAGGGAAAAATACAATTAAATAAACAATTATTATTGTTTTTATAAAATATTAAAGCTACTTCCTGATTTTTAAAAAAATATGGACTTGGTCATCTTTTTGTTTGGTGATGACTATACAGACATAACTTTATTCTGCTCTTTAATTACATGGATATATGTAAATGCATACATATTAATGATGATGGTGATATTTCTGAAGTGTTCCTTAATTATCTGCTTTGCAAATGTAGAAGAACTTTGTGGCAAATCCAAGGAGAATTTCTCCCCAGCAAACAAATTCTGGATCTGACAACTTTCTTCAGTAGGGAGGAACCTGACTGTACTGTAAAACAATCTTTTATTGGAATAACTTTTTAAATTTCTTGAATTTGTGAGGCTGTTTGTTCCTATCTGACTAAATGCATTGGATCAAATCTGGCAGGTCTCCAGATGGCCCACATCACAAAATTCTTACTTCATTTTGTTATAATCCATTTGTAATTAGTTTTGTAAAAGCAAGAAACCCAAGGCAAGAGAGGGATGAGCATTCATAACTGAACCCCAGATCAATCTCAAGTTATTTCTGTATGAATGAGGGCAGCCAGGAAAAAAAAAGAAACTTCCCTGAAGCAGTGGCTTTTGGGGTTCAAGGGGAGAAGCAGTTTCCCAATATTTCATGTTTTTCACTTTTTTTTTTTGAGGCAATTGGGGTTAAGTCACTTGCTCAGGGTCACACAACTAGTAAGTGTCAAGTATCTGGTCTGAGATCGGATTTGAACTCAGGTCCTCCTGACTCCAGGGTCGGTGCTTTATCCACTGTGCCACCTAGCTGCCCCCAATATTTCATATTATTGTACAAATTTCCTCAGGATAGAACATTTCTTTGTTATGCTGCTTTTTACCTGGCTGTTACATAGTTGACCTCCAAGGTCCCTTTCAGCTGAAAGATTCCATGTACTATGCTACAGAGGAAACTTGGGAGAATTCAATTACTGGAGACTTTTTAGTTCAAAATATACAAAACCTGGTATAGTAGAAGCAATAAATTGCAGTACAGAGCAGAACAACCTGCACCAGGTTTTTAAATTTTATCTAATTCTTTGATATTTCGGAATATCTCATGACAATTCTACTAACGTCCAAGAGGGAACTGAACTTTCTGGAAGACAATTTAAGTGTTCATTTTAATAGTAAAAATATTTTAAATAGCAAAAAAAAAAAATGGCCTAAGAGATATCGATAGTACATTCCATATGATCTCTTTATTACCTTAAAGAAGTCAGATGATATTGTTGCCTTTTAAACAAGGGTGACCAGAAGTAAAGAGGATCCCACAAAGACAAATATGTATGAAGACCCTAGATCAAATAAAGGTCTCTATTTGGTTAGTATTGATGGAATGCTTCAGGGCTTCCTTCAAGTCTCAGCTAAAGACTCTCCTTCTGTAAGATGCCTTTCCCAGTTGTCCTCTGAGACTACTTCCAATGTATTCTGTCTGTATCTTATTTGTATACAGTGTGAATGCTCTCTTTCCCATTAGATTGTGAGCTCCCAGCAGGCAGGACTGTTTTTTTTTTTTTTTCTTTTCTTTTTATTCCTAGCCCTTAGCACATAGTAGACACTTAATAAATGCTATCTGCTTGACAGGACAACCTTCTTAGATGTAAATTAGTCTGTCAAGGAAGAGGCTAAGATGAATTTAAAGTGATTTGCAAGCAAACTGCAATACAATCCCAAGAAAACCTCATTCCCTTCTCCTCACTGTGGAAGTTCTGCAGGATATCCGTGATCCTTCATAAACACAGCTCCATTTATTATTTTTAGAAAAATTATCATAGGTCATTTGCACTTGTTGGTTTTGTTACTTCTAGTTGTAAAATTTCTAGTGCAAGTTTATTTTCTCATTAAGTGACTTTGTTTTGCCAAGTCGCATGTGTGAAGGGTTGCTTGCAAAGGTGAAGAAGTGGGCTGGGGATCCCCTTTAGAAAACATAAGCTCCCTGAGGGCAGCAAAAGTTTCATTTTACCCTTTGTATCCCAGGCACTTAAAGTCAGCTAGGTGGTGCAGTGGATAGAGTGCCAGGGCTGAAGTTAAGAGAGTTCAAATTGGGCCTCTGACACTTACTAGCAGACCCTAGTCTGATCCTGGGAAAGTCACTTAACCCTGCCTGCCTCAGTTTCCTCATTTGACAAATGAAAGAGAAGGAGATAGGGAAGGAGAAGGAGATAGGAAAGGAAATGGCAAAGCACTTCTTTGCCAAGAAGGCCTCAAATGGAGTCACAAACCCCATTCAATTGGATATGACTGAATAACAATAATCCCTAGCACTTAGCAGAGTACCTGGCCAAAACCTCAGAGTAGAAAGGTTCCTAGGGGGCATATAATTCAACCAAATGAGAATTTATAATTATAACTGAATGGTCAACCTTTGCTTAAAGACCTCCAATAAGAGGGATTCCACTACTTTTCAGCACATCCCATTTTGACTTTTGGAAAACTCTATTGATTGATCATTTATTTCTTATTGAAAGCTTATATCTGTCTCTCTGCTATCCCCATCACTCTTAGTTCTGTTGTCTGGGGTAAATCAGAACAAATCTAACACCTCTTCCATGGATGAATGACTTATTGGTACAATTCTGATTCTATTTGGTTAATAGTAGAATAAGGTGGTAGGGTTAGTGGTCATTGGGTACTGGAGTGGAGAGAGATAGAATCAATTTGAACTGGTAAAGCTCTCTTGTTAAAAGCAATATCTCCCTTACACATTCCACCAATAAGACATTAATTTTCATCAGCTACTTGTTCTTTTAATATAAAAATGCATCTGGAAGGGTTAAGAATCATTCATACCTTACTTTGAATTGCTTTAATCTAATAAGTAATTAATTTCTGCTCAGTACTACTCAGGCACAGTAGATAGGGTGCCAGCCCTGGCATCAGAGAGACCTGAGTTCAAGTGGGGTCTCAGACACTTACTAGTTGTGTGACCCTAGGCATGTTACTTAACTTCTGTTTGCCTCAGTTTCCTCATCTGTAAAAGGAGCTGGAGAAGGAAATGGCAAGCCATTCCAGTATCTTTGCCAAGAAAACTCCAACTGGGGGCACCAAGAGTCAGATGTGACTGAAATGACTGAACAATAACAGTACTCCTGGAATAATCATAATAGCTCATATTCTATAATGGGGTTGACCAAGCACCTTATCGCTTACCAAGCTCTTTCCATAAAGTAACATACTGAGTTAGGTAGTGTAGGTATTATTATCATTCCCATTTTACAAAAAGGGGAAATTGAGGCTCAAGAAATTCAGGTGATTTGACCCAGGCCAAATTTGACCCGGGTCAAATCAGTCACAGTGACAGAGTTGGGACTGCAAGTATTGTGTTCAGGAAGGAAGAAAACATTTTTTGGGCACTGGTTCCAGACTCAGATATAATTATAGAATCCTGGACTTAGAGCTGAAAGGGACATTAGAGGATATCTGGTCTAATCCCCTCATTTTATTGATAAACAAATGTCACACAGGGGGTTTCAAGAGCCAGACTTGAATCTAGATCCTATGATTCCAAGGGTAGTGTTCTTTCCATCTCACCACCCTGTCTCTAGAGATGAGTTGGAACTGAGGTTGGGGTGGGGAAGGAGTTTTTTGACATTGAGAGAAAAATGAAGGAGCAGTAAGTATCTGAGACTAGTGAAAGGAGAGAGATGGTAGGCATTCAGCTGCATGTCTTACTATCTAATTCCCGTCCACAGAGGTGGGACAACGCAGCTCTTCATCCTCGTTAAGGTTTGAAAATTGGCAGCCCCAAGGCCTTTGAGATTTCACTTTAACACATGCAACCTGATTTATCACAAAATAAAGTTATATGCCATGGAAAATGGAGTCCTCTGGCGTAACAGTAAGTAAAGAGTGTCCCAAAAGTCTTAACTTAAAGACTTTTAGGATACCCTGTATATTTATAAGAAGTAATATTAACAAGTGACCTTTGTTGTCCTTCTCTGCATGTTGTAACCTTGAGGGGCTAGCTAACCTTGCCTGCCTCTGGTCCTAGCTCTATCTAACTTCTCATTATAGGAAAAACAAGAAAAGAAGGAAAGAAAAAAATGAAGAAAAGGTTATATTTGTTTATAATCCCCACTTCAGTCTCCCTCTCTATATTCAGTGCAATAAAACATACTTTGCATGAGATTTTCTTTTTCAGTCGACATGTTGGATATATCCCTAATGAATATGATGGCACTTAGGTGACCTTCAATTTTTTTTTTTTATCAGAATTAGTTGAGGCTAGACTGAGATAGCCAAGAAAAATTTAACAAACCATACTAGGTCCTAGATTTCAAAAGCATTTTGTGCATGGAAAGAACTATGCATTCTGACATGTGTCTTAACAAATTACCTACCCGCCTTCTTCTGAATATTTATGCCCAAATGCCAGGATGTCAGATGCCCGTCCACTCCCATCACATACGACAACAGGAACTGGAGGAGTGTCTCGAAGATACTCCAAAACAATGGAGATTACATTTGGTCCTCCTTCCACGATGAGGGCCACGACAGGAACTCCTTGGCCGATTCCTGTATTAAAAAAGGAAAAGAAGAGGGGAAAAAAAAGAACGCAAACCCAGGACACCAAAAGAAACAAAGAGAAAACAAACAAACAGACAAAAATATAAACTGCAGTTACCAAGCTCTGGGAAGGGCACAGCATCTGAAGAGATAAACTACTAAGGAAACATTTTTAAAGCTGGCTCTTTAGCTGGCACCAGAATTTCCACACCAAAGAAACCAGCAGGCTTAGCCCCAGTGTCAGTTAAAGAATAACAACATGGTTTTCTATGGAATAGGTATGGATGGCTATTAAGAAAAAGGGATTGTGGTCCTGTTATAAAGCAATAGACTATTGGTAAAAAGGAAAAAAATAGTCATAATCCAAGAGATAGTACCTAAAACATGAAAATTGCAGAGTTTCAACTTCTGAGATCAGCTACTAAAGCACCCTTATTTTATAGATGAGAAAATTGAGGCCCTGAGAGATGATAGGGCAGCTATTTGGCTCAGTGGATAGAGTGTTGGGCCTGGACTCAAGAAGACCAGAGTTTAAGTCTGGCCTCAGATACTTACTAGCAGTGTAATCCTGGACAAGTCACTTATCTTCTGTGCCTCCGTTTCCTAACCTGTAAAGCTGGGGATAATAATAGCATCTACCTCTCAGGGTTGTTGTGAGGACCAAATGCTATAATTGTAAAGCACTTAGCGCAATTCCTGGTACATAGTAAGCACTATACAAATGTTAGCTATTATTATTATTATTATTATTATCATACAAAGAAACTTGCCTAGGGTTACAATAGGTAGTAAACAATAGAGCATGAATTTGAACCCAGATCTTTTAATTTTAAATCCAGTGCCCTTTCTATATCACATTGCTAGTACAATCCTGGGCAAATCATTTAGCTGTTCTACATTTCAGTTTTCCTTATTATAAAATGAGGATATTAATTCCCACCCTGCACCTAATATACAGAGATGAGATAATATAGGAATAGCTATTTTTAAAAAAATAACACATGTTCAACTTGGTTATCCTGACTAGTCATTCAACAAGCCTTTCATAAGAAATTAAATGTGTCAAACAGTCTGCTAATAATCGGGAGACAAGGTATTGTGAAGACATTGTCCTTGACCTCAAAAAATTCATATTTGGGAGAGACAACATATAAGTATACTTAGTATGAAACCAATACATAATAGATGGAGAGTAATCTCAGAGTGAAAACCCCAGCAGCAAGGAGGACTGGGAAAGGTCTCCTGCAGAAGTAAGAATAGTCTTGAATGAAACCAAAAAGCATAAGTGAGAAGAAAGTATTTCAGACAAGTGGAAATGAAGTGTCAATGTACAGGTTTGGGAGACAGAATGCTGTGTGTGAAGAAGTCGTAAGCCAGTAAAGCTAGATTATAGTGTGTGTGGAAGAGAGTATGGTATAAGAAATATTGAAAGGTAGGAAGACCCAGGTTTTGAAGAGCTTTAAATGGCAAAAAGGATTTTATCTTTCATCCTGATTGTAATAAGGAGCTACTGCTGATTGTTGAATAGGGAGACAATACATAGAGAATTGGACTTTAGGCAAATCATTTTGGCAATTAAACAAATAGTGAATTGGATTGGGAAGACACTTGATGCAGGGTGATCTGTTAGAAGGGTACTGGAATATAGTCGAGGTCAAAGCTGATCAGGGTCTGTACTAGGGTGGTGGCTGCGTAAGAAGAGAGAAGATGGCTTTTATGTGAAAGATGTTGCAATGATAGAAAGAGCAAGTTTTGACAACAGATTGGACATGGGATGAGTGAGAGTCAGGAGTAAACAATGACACCAAGGTTGTGGGTTTGGGTGACTGGGAGGATGGTGGTACCTTGGAGAGTAACAGGAAAGTTAGGAAGAGAGGAGGGTTTTGGAGGGGGAAAGTTAATGATTTCTGTTTTGGACATGTTGAACTTGAGATGGAATTCAGAAGAAAGATTAGGACTGAATATACAGATCTGGGAATCAATTGCATGAAGATAATAAATGAACCTATGGGAATGCTGAGATCAACAAATGAAAAAGTATAGTGGAAGAAGAAAAGAGACCCCACAATAGAGGCTTAAGGAGACTCGTGATTTGGAGGCATGACATGGATGAAACTTCAGTGAAGGAGACTGAGCAGGAGTGGTCACCCAGGGAGGAGGAGAGCCAGGAGAGAAAGGTGTCATGAAAGAGTATAGAGGAGGGTGTATGTGTCCAGAAGGAGATGGTGATCAACAGTGTCAAAGGCTTCAGAGAAGTGAAGAAAGATGAGGTTTTAAAAAAAAAAAAAAGGTAAGTAGATTTGGCAATTAAGAAGTCATTGGTGACTTTGGAGAGGGTGATTTCAGTTGAATGGTAATTCAACTATTTTAGGTGGTTTGCCAAGCTGTTAATAGGATTATTGAGTCATCACTATGACCAAAACCAAAATAAACAGTCCTGGTGATTTCAGGTTTTTAAAATGACCTGGTGAAAACGTTGCACTTGCTCATCAATTAGAAATTAGATGCCACAGACCTTCCGCAATGTCTAACATAGTATTGGGCACATAGCAGGTGTTCAATAAATATTTATTGAAATACATCAGAGGGCTGCATGGAATCTTAGCTTCAGAATCTGTTTTACCTGGGTTAAGTTGGGAATGGTCATAAACAAAGTGCCTACTATATGCCGGGCACCGTCCTAAGCACTTCAAAAATATTATTTCACTTGATCCTTAGAACAATAGTGTAGGGGCCGCTAGGTGGCACAGTGGATGGAACACCAGCGCTGGAGTCAGGAGGACCTGAGTTCAAATCTGGCCTCAGACACTTGACACTTACTAACTGTGTGACCCTGGTCAAGTCACTTAATCCCATTGCCTAGCAAAACAAAACAAAGCAAACAAACAAACAAACAAAAAAAAAAACCAACTATGTGATGCAGGTGCTAGTATGATCCCCCATTTTTCAGTTGAAGAAAGTGAAGCAGGAAGAAGTGAAGTGACTTGCCCAGGGTTACACAGCTAGTAAGCCTCTGAGGCTGGATTTGAACTCAGTTCTTTCTGACTCCAGCCCTATTGCTCTATTCATTATGCCACCTAGCTGCCTCATAATTTAATGGCTATTACTGAAAAAGATAAAAAAGAAGCAAAAATTAATTTAAATGAGTATATGGGTATCCTGAGAGGCAGCGTGGTATAGCAGATGCCAGAGAATCCAAGAATCGAGAGACGGAAGGGACTTCAGAGGTCATCTGGTCCAAGTCCCTAATTTCGTATACAAGGAAGCTGAGATCCAGGGAAGTGATATGATTCTCTCAGGAATAAGTATGGGCTGGTCTTTGAGTCAGGGAGATCTAGGTTCAAGGTCAGCTTTAACATATATTTAACATATGCTGGCTATATGAACAGGGGCAAGTCATCATGTGTACCCTGTATAACTCTCTAAGATGAGAGATTATAAGCAGGTCACTAATTTCTATGGGTAGATGGAATTCCCACACCAGGAATTCCCTACACTGATGAAATCACAGGGTTACTCCTCAATCCCCATTGCCAGCGCATATTTGGCTTGAGTGCTTTTTCTTCAGCTTGAGACCACACATAGAATTCTTACTGAAACGTCTGAAAAAACATTGAAGTAAAGTAAAAAGAAGATTTGTTTAGCATGCAAAAATGCACAGATAAAAAATAATCACAAGGCTGCAACACATCCATAAAACTATTAATAAATATCCTCCAAGCTGAAAGTTTTTTCTATTTGTTTGGCAAATTTTAGAAAAAGAAAAAAAAGTTATTATTGTCTTGTTCCGAGGACTGACAAGTTTCCATCTCAGAAAATAAGAGCTTTATGATTGATTTTAAAGAATTGAGTGTTAAACGTGGTTCTTTGTGATAGAACCAAGAAATTACAATGCATAATGTGTGCATCATCAGTTTTAGTTTCAAAGTACTAAGACCTCATTCTTTCAGTGCTGGAAGAGAAAGTTTCTAGTATCTTGCTCTCTAGATCAGTGTTTCTCAAGGAGTGATAAATTGGTGGGTTTTTAGTTGATCCGTTAGCATGATGCAGAATTCAAGTTGCACTAAAACCAGCTTTGTTGGTTCTTTTTTCCTCCTACCTTCTGATTGATCCCACTCATTTAATCTTTCTCTTCTTGACCTCTAAGAGAGGGTGTCTTCCAAGGCCCTGTCCTTGACCCTTTTGAAAATAATACAGCTACATTCTTCCTCTTGAGATCTTATCCTCTTCTATGACTTCAATTACCACCTCTGTGTAGATGATTGTCAGCTCTATAGATCTGATTTCAATCTCTTCCTTAGTGCCACTCCTGAATTTTCAAATACCTATTGGGTATATTCATGTGAATATGCTATTGAAACCTCAAACTCATTAAATCCGAATCTGAATTCATCTTTTCTGGCTTCTCAACTTTCTTATTTTTGTTAAAAAATCATTACCATTTTCATTTACCCAACCTCAAAACCCCAGAGTTACCTTCCAGAGTTTCTATCCCTCATTTCCTACATCTAATCAGTTGATAGCATATGTAAAATTTTACCTTAACATCTGCTCTATCCTCTACATTGATGCTATCATTATCCTAGCCCAGACTCATCACTTTTGACCTGGATTATTGTAACAGCCTCTTGCTGCTCCTGCTTGCAGAAAATATTCAAGACCAAGAACAGTACCACCCATTCAAGGAAGACATCTTTGATTCTCTCACATGTAACTAAATAGTTGAAACTCTTAGGGTCAAATCCAGACCCAACTGCATCACCTGGAGAAATCCCTGGTCCTTACCTTCTTCACTTGTAAAAGGACACAAATGGATTGGATGTCCTTTCCAGGCACATTCTACCTTTCATCGTGCTATATTGTGTTCACATTGTATCCTTGTAGCAGTCCGTATGCTCCTAGACAGCAGGGACTGTTTTGTTTTTCATGTTGGCACTGATAGAAACTAGTATAGTAACCTGATCATAGTAGGTGCTTAACTAACTGTTAACTGTTGAAATGGAATTGTA